CTGTGTGTGTGTGTGTGTGTGTGTGTGTGTGTGTGTGTGTGTGTGTGTGTGTGTGTGTGTTGTATGTTTCAGGTGAAGGTGCTAGCGCTTTGATTAGCAAGTCATTGTACAAAGTGGGTGACGAAATCGTGTTCAACTGCTCTGTGGCTAAGTTGTGAGTATATTATAATATTATTGTTGTATTTTTTTATTGTTGAAATTATTCTTTTTTTATAGTTCAAACAGATATTCTTTGATGTTGAAATGTATTGTTCGAATAGCCCTGTTTTATTGACCAGATAGTTCTTTTTTATTGTTCGAATATTCCTGTTATATTGTTCGTTGTTAAAGTTTCACGCCGCCGACATGACCTATTTGTATTACAAGTACCGTAAATCTCTTACTAAACCTAAAAGGGGACAAACACGTAGAGCAAATATATGGAATTTTTTCAGCCGTGAAAAAGTAAGATTAAAACTTGTTCACATTCGTCCATTCGCGTGAAAAAAGTGTTCTAGCCCATTTATAAATGATACTTACAAATGTGCATGTAAATTTGCATGGCGCTCCTGTAGACCAGAGACGAAACAAAAACACTTTGAAAAAAAGAAATCTTGATGCAGTCATAAAAAAAGCCTTTTCTTAAGAATACATTTGGGCCCATATCAAATGATGCCCTTTTAACAGCACAAAAAGTAATGGCTTACAGTAAATTAGCCTGCATAATGTGAGGCAGTGTGGTGGAATCAGGCTCTTGTCAAAATAATCAAAGTGAAGAAACTTGCATTTTTCTGCAGGTTTGTGAGTTTTTATAAAATTTTGTTTTTTGGCTCAACATATTTCATGCCCTTCAAAGAACTAATTTCTGTGTGGATTTTTCTGAAAAACGTGGATTAAGGCACTAAAAATGTAAATTTTCAGTTACCACGGACTCTTAAGCTAAGGAAATAACTAATCTTTGCCGGCCATTTCTCACTAATGTTACCTCTGAAAACAGGTGACCCCACCCCCTTCATTCGGAAATATCTCGACTTGTATTCAAGATAAATGGATATTTTTTTTCATTCAAATAAAGACAAGTGAGCAAGCTTTAAGATGATACCAATACCTCTACATGCCCAAAAATTGACGAGAGCCTGATTCCACCACCCTGCCTGACATACAGCCTATTTTGAAACAGCGACACCACCGAGCCCCCACGTTTCAGTGTAAGCTTGTAGAGTTCCTCTCAAGACCGACTGATCTCTACGTGAGTCTCGAAAGGTACTCATCCCGACTAACGAATGGTGTGTGTGTGTGTGTGTGTGTGTGTGTGTGTGTGTGTGTGTGTGTGTGTGTGTGTGTGTGTGTGTGTGCGAGTGTGTGTGTGTGTTGTTTGTGTGAGTGTGTGGAATTTTGGTTGCTGGTTTATTTTTTTGTTTTTTGTTGTTGTTTTTTTTACCCGCTTTAGGCTAACAGCAAAGAAAACGTGGCAGGTCCTTAGAGGTGACCTTCACCAATTGGCTTCTAGAATCTGACGGTCGTCCAACGTTTAGACCTGCCTGCTAAGTCTGAGAAGATTAAACCAGACGATTTGATTTTATCTTGTGTTTACCGCGGACAGACGAAAGTGGACAAGCTATAGATTCGATTGGCCATCCCACGTTCAGACCATCATGCAAATACCTGAGAAGATTTAAAGTGGGGGGGGGGAGGGGGGGTTACACTCCCAAAGTCCCTTTTCGGCTCAAAATTATGGAATTTGAGTTGTAGGCTTTTTTAGCTTCCTCAGACTTTCCTACAACTATTTCATTGCATAAGAACCACCAAAAACCTCATTTCTTCCCATACCGGGCATGTTTGTCACCACCATTTCCTCATAAAGTCAATATATTATTTTTCTTTGTCGACCGTTTTCTCAAAACGCGACTTTTCTCTATATGAATAACTCCACCATTTTTTTAGCCAATCTTCATGAAATTTTCACAGAATAAAGAGAATATGTAAAACAAAACAATTTGTGTGTTATGGAAAAGATTTTTGTTTGTGATGTCTTGAGTGTAAATTTTCACGGATTTTTGGCAAACTTGAATACTACCTCAGGAAAAAAATCCTTAAAGTTTTTCTAATTCGTTCAGAAAAACAACAACAAGAGACCAATTTTTAGATGTAATGTTTATGAACATGCATGCGAAACTTTAGTTATTGAGATTCCTTGGAAACTGTAAGTTTACATTTTTGTGTGCCTTTAATCAACGTTTTTCAGTAAAAATCCACTCTGAAAATGTTTGTAAATGGACATGACTGGTGTTGAGATAAACAAAATGATAAAGAATGGTCAAAGGGTGGGAAAATGCTGGTTTCTTCTTCTTTTAAAAATATTTTTCTTTTTTTTTTTTGGAAGTGTTTTACGGCGCTCCCATTTTTGGGGGGCCAGTGTTTTACGGGGCTCGCAAACGCATAAGGTCTTATGAGCCCGCGGGACACGCCTAATGTTTTCAGTTGGTAGGAAATTTGGAGATTTTGCCCGGGTGCCCGCCGAGGCCTACTCTTTTCAATTTTAGACCACCAAGGGATCTTTAACGTGCACATATTGCACGAGATTTTCCGCCGTTATCCGAGAAGGCTCGGCGTTAGATCTTACCTACCATAAGATCAGGGGTGCGGTGAAAAGACAGCAGTAAGAAGGAGCCAAGGAGTAGCAGTAGAAAGTCTGCAGAAAGAGTTAGGAGCCCAGAGGAGGGGGCAAAGAAAGTGAGGGGTGGGGACAGAGAGTGGAGATGAAAGCAGACAACAGAAAATTGTTAGGGAACAGGTAAGGAGGCGAAAGGATAAACATTTTAGAGAAGAAAATTTTCCGTCGCTGTCCGGATTCGAACCTGGGACCTATTGAATGAGAGGTGAACACCGTAATCTCTGGAACACAAGAGCACCTTCCAGTTTCTTCCATTCCATTATTTTGAATACGAGCACCTGATTTCGCCATGATTCCTCACATTTGTATCCTGTGTTAACCGCGGCGAGAAGAGAGTGAACTCACTATAACCTCGTATGTCTGTTTCTGTCTCACTCTCTCAGCACTGCCCCCGCCTCTCTGGGCAGCAAGAACTACATTTTAACACTACAGAAAAAGAAGGACACGGCAGCTCTACCTCAAATGCTCACGAAATTCGAGAGTGCTGGCCAAATTCGTGTGGTGAGTAAATAGTCCAAAAGTATTCGTGTGGTGAGTAAATAGCCCCACGAATAACATCCCCCCCCCCCTGACCCCCTCCCCCTCACAACACACAGAGAAAAAAGTCATTTTCTTTCGAGTTACTGAACCCCCCCCCCCCCCCCCGCTCCCCAAATTTTTACCTTTCTCACCCTCTCCATGCACACACACACACACACACACACACACACACACACACACACACACACACACATACACACATAAACACACAACACACACACACACACACAAACACACACACATACACACGCCGATAAACACATGCACACTTATACACACACATATAAAAACACTTCTTTAAAAAAAACTGCACATTTTCACATTTCTATATTGTTTGTGACTTTGAGCAAATGACGTCAGTAAAATGCACACAAAATAAATAATGCTTTTTTTTTAAGTTGACGTTAAAGGTGTTGAGACAAAATAGATTTATAATCTTTGCCGACGAGCGGGGAAATGCTGGTTTCTTCGATTTCATTACTTTGACCTGTCATTCAATATTAACCTATATATCAGAGGGTTCTTGTGGCCTCCAAGTTAAAGTGTTCGAATCCGGATGGCGACGGACAATATTTTTCTCTAAAATTTGCTCCTTCCACATTCGAACCTGCTCTCTAACAATGTTCTATCGTCTGCTTTCTTCTCCACTGTCTGACCCCACGCTTTCACATTCTTTTCCCCATCCCCTGGGGCCCCTTACTCTGTCTGCAGACTTTCTACTGCTACTCTTTGGCTCCTTCTTACTGCTGTCTTTCAGCCACAGTACACGCCTGACCTTATGGTAAGTAAGATCTACACCAAACCTTCTTGGATAAAGCGAAATATCTCTGAGGTCCTGTGTGCACGTTAAATATCCCTTGGTGGTCCAAAATCGATAAGAGTGGGCTTCGAGCGCTACCTAGGCAAAATTCATGATTTACTACCAACTGAAAATGTTTAGTGTGTCCCGCGTTCATATGACCTTATGCAGTTGGGAGCGCCGTAAAACATTTACCTGAAAATGTTTATTTTTAAAAAACTACATCATGCTGATTTCTTTCTTCCATTTTTTTCCTGGTAGTGTTTTTTGCTGGGAAGGGGAGGGGTTGAAAGGGTGTAATAATCTAATAATAATAATCTTTAAAAGATTTTAATGTTTTGTTTTTGTTTGTAAGTTGTTGTTTTGTTGTTTTTGTTTGTTTTGTTTTGTTTTTTTTTGTTGTTGTTTGGGTTTTTTTGGGGGGGTTGTTGTTGTCTTTTCCTGGCAGAAGCATTTTAATGGGGGCTCAATCGGTATGATGCTAGAATATGAAGCAGATGGCCCTGGTTCGAATCCCCATTGTAGCGTTCTCAACTTTGGCTATGTTGGGGAGTTTTTGGCTCGGTCCTATCGGGGCTGGACTTCATATTCAGAGGTCTCGCTTCTCCGATTTCTGGCAGTGTGGAAAGAGGCGTTAATCCTATACAGCGATCGACACAATTATCAACTGCCTCTTTGTATACAAACAAACCTACTCTTGCGGCCACCTGTATAAGGCTCTGGCCACACTGCAAGCAGAGCGGGCAGAGCTGAGTAGAGCAGTGAAAATTAATACAAGGAGGTGACCGGCGGTGCGATTCGAGGCGGTTCAGACCGTCGGTCTCCTCCTTGTTTTTTGTATACATTTTCACTGTTGTTCTGCCAGCTCTGCTTGCAGCGTGGCCAGAGCCTTAGTCGTTGTTGTTGTTGTTGTTGTTGTTGCTGTTGCTGTTGCTGTTGCTGTTGCTGTTGCTGTTGTTGTTGTTGTTGTTGTTATCGATCCAGCAACAGCTGGCTCTCGCCCTTTTGCCCAATGCCACGTAGTGATAAGTGCAGGTTTGTTGCAGTTGCTGTAGTGTTCCATAATGTGTGTTGTCAATGTTAGGTCTCGGAGGGAGAAAGGTAGCTCTGATGTCATTTAGGGCTGTGTAGTGGAACAGGTGATGATCCACAGTCTCATATGTGCTTAGTCACACAAGGGAGGCATTGGGGGGAAGTTCCGGGTTTATTCTGTTCAGGTGAAAGTTGAGGTGTATATGTTCTGTTCGTAGGCGGAAGATCGAGGTCTGTTTCTTTCTCTGTAGGTGGTTGATATTGTCATTTCTTTTTGTTGTAGTCATATGTTTGAAAACTGCTCTGCCTGTCTTTCCCTCGGCCCATCTGTTCATCCAATCTTGTTTGTCGTTGCTTTTAATGATTTGTTTTGCAGTATTGTATGAAGTTGGAATGTTGGGTTGTTCCTGTCTAGATCCCCGTTTGGCGAGTGTGTCTGCTCTGTCATTTCCAGGTATTTTTGAGTGTCCGGGGACCCTCTGCATTACTAGGTTGAATGTTATCAGATGATTGGAACCAAACGGTATATTAGTCAAAACCTTGGTTTAGATGATGGTCATTTTCTACGGCTTGTAAGACTGATAGTGAGTCAGTGAAAATCACAATACTGTGTGCTTTTCCAGGATAGGTGTCAAAAAGTGTGCGGAGATGATACAGAGATGTTTCAATTGCCATTATTTCTGCATCGTAGTAACTGCTTTTATCTCCACCGGCTTGAAACTTCCATCTGGGTACTGTATTCGTATTCCTTTGGTTGTGCCTTTGAATGCTGGGTCGTCCGTTTAGACGTGTATTCAGTAATCTAAATAGCTGTCGATTGTTTGAGGTGATGCGTCACTGGGTTTGAAGATTTTGTGCTATTGTCTCTGAGAGATGTAATGATTGGCTTTTTTAAAGAAAGATGGGGTGGGATGTTTTGTTTGACTCTTTTGGTTTCTCTTCTGTTTTGTGGTAGATGGTGACTCTCCATTAGTTCTGTGATGTGATGCATGATTGATTTTAGTTGAATTCGTTTCTTCGGTTTCCCTGTTTCTACTAATTTCCTGTTTGGGTGGATGGGGCACATTCTTTTAGTTCTTTCATGTAGCTCCAAAAATGCTTTGTCTCTGCGGATTCCCAGGGGTTCAACATTTGAAACGATTTCGCATGCAGCGGTAGGTGTGGATCTCATGCCACCATTTATAAAACGAAGGACATTGTTTTGGACCTTGCAGTATTCCAGGGAGGATGGGACATAACCAAGGTATAGAGTCTCAGAGTCTGTTTGTCTGATCCCCATGAACTGCTTGCGAGTTTCATTAAAAGTTGGAGTCTTTTTTTGCCTTGTTCCTTATGTTCTCCACTTGGCTTTTCGTGGTTAGATTATGGTCAAGTTGGACTCCTAGGTAAGTTGGATGTTCTTCTTTGGGGAGATTTTCATTTCCTATCTTTAGTTGGAGATTTTCTTTGGCTGCTTTATGGCTCTTCGTAAAGATGGTGTATACTGTTTTCGTGCAGTTAATATTAAGTTTCCATTTATGACAGTAATTGTGAAGCCTCTTGGGGTCTTCATTTAATTTCCCTGCATCAACTATCATGCTGTGATGTGTCTGCCAGCGAGCACGATCATAGGCATAAAGAGTCTTTTCTGATTTCAGCACGTTCGTTACATCATTAAAGAAGATCAGGAACAAAATGCAACTCAGACAGGAACCTTGAGGTAGGCCTTCCTCGAGTACTTCTCTTGACGAGTGGGCATTATTTACCCTGGTTTCAATGTTTTGATCCGACAGGAAGAACTTGATACTTTTGTAAAGTTTGCCTTGTATTCCGATGTCCTATATTTTCATGAGTATTTTCTTCCCACTCTGTCGTACGCCTGTTGGAGATCTACAAGTTTAGTCTGCTGAAATCCATCCTGAATGTTTTGAATCAGTTTAAAAAGTTGGTATTCTGTGTTGCTGCCTTTTCTGAAGCCTGCTTGGTGTGGGTTTAAGCTGTTAGTGTTTTACAGGTACCAGTAGAGACGTATGTTAATGAGATAGGTCGGTAGCTTTTCGCTTCTCCAGGTGGTTTCCCATTTTTTCAGGAGCGGTATAATCTGGGCGATCCTCCATGCCTTTAGTATTTCACAAGTTCCATCATGCTATAATCCTCTTCAAAAAGCGAGTTGTTCACAGTAGGGGCTTTTTGTTTACCCTTAGCCCTATTTATGAGGAGTTTGTCAGCCTCCGTTAGTCTGCCTGTCCTGTTTACAGAGGCGAAAAACCGGTTAAAATGTCTGGCTTTCTTCTGGTCTTCAGTGTTGGTGCTGCCTGAAAGGACAAAAGGCTTGGGGTTACGTTTTTGTCTTTCTCCAGAGAGGCTGCTGAAAAAGAACCAAGCCTTTCATCCATTGTGGCGAAGGTCAAGATCTTTGCAGGTCTGAGTCCATTTCTCTTTTTTTTTTCTTTTTTTTTTTTAGGAGGGGGGGGGGGGTTGCTTTTTTGTAGTGTATTTCGTTTGTTGGTGATGGTGATTTTTCCAATGACTGTCTGGCTTTCTCTCTTTCTGCCATAGCAGTCTAGATTTCTTCACTCCAAAAGGGTTTGAAATTTCTTTGGCATCCCCGTGGAATGTGCTGAGTTGCAGCTTTAAGAATATTTTGGGTTATTTGTTTATTAAAACGATCAGCATCTTCTGTTTCTGTTATGCCAGAGAGCAATTCGTTCGAGGTCTTCTCGTATTCTGCCCAGTTGGCTTTCTTAAAGTTCCATCGAGTCCTCTGAGGGTGGTTCAATGCAGGTGGGGAGGTGATCTGTATAAAGATAGGCCTGTGTTCACTTCCTATGTCATCAATCACTTCGATGTGATAGGAGTTTTTAATGTCGGATGAGCAGATTGTGAGATCAGGCTGAGAGTCAAGTGGGCTCCGTGAAGTAAGGTAAGAGTTGAGTTGACATCTCGTAACACAGATAGGTTGCTGGTTTCATACAGCTCCTCAGTCTTTTGGGCTGTGCCGTTATAGTTGACATAGGCCCATTCAGGAGAGTGGCCATTGAAGTCACCCGCACAAATGGTTTTCTCATGGTAGGCTGCTTGCAAATCAGACAAGTCCCATGTTGTCTGTGGGGGGGCTGTAGACATTGTAAAGTGTGTACTTCCTACCAGTGTGCCATATGGAGGCCCTCTGGATATCTGTCGGTTGGACGGTTGATAAGTGTACGACATCTCCCTGAACATCGTTTTGCAAGTAAGTGACTGCACCGCGGCATCCTGTGCATGTGCAGGCGTAACTGGTGTATCCTGTGAGGTTCAGGTCAGTACCTTTGTGAAGGGTTTCTTGAAGGAGGGCAACATTCTACCTGTCCTTCAGGACTTTGAGGAGTTCTGTTTTCTTGTTCCTCAAACCACAGATGTTGAGTTGCAAGAGGTTGGTGAATCTCTTCTTCTTGTTGGGGATGTAATTGGCTCCTTTCTCACTCCGAGAGCTTTTCCGTGCTGGTTTAGCTCTGTTTCTGTGTGTATCACCAGTAACTGACTTGTCGCTCAGAGCATCCTGGTGATTGCGCTGCCTTGCGGGGACCTTGTCTAACGAGGCGACTTCCGATCTCGCATGTAGTTTCTTTCTTTGTGTCATGGCATTGTGGACTGGGGTGCCTGCCCACCCCGAGAAGAGGCCCTTCATGTTGAAGATAGGAGGGTACAAGGGGTTTTCATGAGACTTGAAAGACCTAAATGCCCTGTGACTGTGTAATTCAAGTAGGGTTCCCGCTGCCCATTCACCACCACCAATGGCTGCTGGCTAAAGTTTTCTACTCTTGTATGAGGTATCGGCCCAGTGGGAAAGCCACTGGATCGTCACGTCCTGGGTCGTTGTGTCTTTACTAAGAGGTCCACGGCCAGAAGGCAAGTCAGGCATTCCGCTCTGTCCGTGCCCTGCACCCAGACACTCTCAAACTGGCTGGTACCTTCGCAGCCACTGAGGGTGTGTTGATAAAAAGCAGTAGAGGTGTGAGGCAGGTTAGACTCAAGGGAGAGTGAGTGTGTGTTAGTAAGGAGCATAGCGTCTACCACACATGGGTGGGTTCTGCCTCCTGCACCTTGTGGGGCCACACTTGCTCCCACCCTGTTGTTTTAACCCCTGTAGGAAACGGGGGAGGTAGTTTGTTGGCGCAAACAACTTGCCATTCGCCAGAACCGTGTCAGTGGAAACAGGGATCTCCACTGGTACGTTGGCTGGTTTGGGAGAAGCTGTTTGAGACGCTTAGGTATTTCTCAATATTTAAATGAGACCCATCACCAGTCCTTGATCCCCGCCAGAGCCTTAGACAACCACCTGTACAAGCGGCTTCTTTCCATTTCCCCCTTGCATAGATGGCACTTTATATCATTAATGATATTCCCTAGTGGTATATAACACCTCTAGCTCTAATCTTCTGCATTTATATCACCAGTTACGGTTTCAAGTGCCATAAAAGTGCTATAAACCTGTCTAAGACGGAGATTTTCTCCTCGGCAATGGGTGGTCGTCTCAGACAGCTTACTTTTCTTTCTCCCTTCCTGCACTGTCAGGTACATAAGGCAGAGAGCTGTCAACGCCATGCTTTTCTTTGCTTTAATAAGAGTTTTGTTGCTGTTGTTATTGTTGTCGTTGTTGTCGTTGTTGTCGTCGTCGTTGTCGCCGCTGTTGTTGTTGTTGCTGTTGTTGTTGTTGTCATTGTTGTTGTTGTTGTTGTTGTTGTCGTTGTTTTCTTTTTTTTTTTTGTCTTTAGCTACGGTTGTCGTGCCTTGCTCAAGGACACTTCCCAGTGACCACCCACGTGAACGCCCTGTGACCGACAATACGATTGACATAACCATGGGTCTGAACTTTCTGATCACTCAACCGCTTGTTTCTTTTGGTAAGTGTTTTACGGCGCTCGCAACTGCAGAAGGTCATATGAGCGCACGGACACATTAAACTTTTTTCAGTTTGTAGGAAAGTTTGAATTTTGCCCGGTTGGCGGCCGAAGCCTATTCTTAGGGATTTTAGATCACCAAGGGATCTTTAACGTTCGCAACTTGCACACGGGCCCTTTGAGATTTTTCTCCCTTGTCTTAGAAGTCTAGGTACAGATCTTTCCTACCAGAAGATCAGGGGTGTGACTGAAAAACAGCAGTAAGAAGGAGTCAAGGAACAGCAGTAGAAAGGCTGCTGAAAAAGTCAGACGCCCAGAGGAAGGGGGTCAAACGTTTGAGTCGCCAATGTTATGTCGGCACACACGACTTAAAGAGCATAGAAAATGTGGGTTTGGGTACTAAAACCCCTTCACTGTTGAAACGTGTCTATCACATTTTACAGAAATAAATAACATGTTCATTAAAAAAATTCAAACAAAAATCATTTCAATTATTTCAGAATAAGTAACTGCATAAGTTGCAATTTTATCTATTTAATAACTTCCTCAACAGGCTAGTAGAAAAATGGCAGTGAACCAGTTTTTAAAAAAAACAACAAATGTGTGTGCAGACGTCCACACAGAAGTGAAGAATTTAATTAATTTAGGACTTCTACTGTCTTTTTCTCCCCCTTTTTCTCTCTACATCCTCATCTTTAGGCCCTATTTTTCCTCTTCTCCCTTTTTCTTTTTCCACCTACACCACCTTCTTCTTTTTTTTTCTTCTTCTCCTCCTCCTCCTCCTCCTCCTCCTCCTCCTCCTCCTCCTCCTCCTCCTTCTTCTTCTTCTTCTTCTTCTTCTTCTTCTTCTTCTTCTTCTTCTTCTTCTTCCCCGTCCTCCTCCTCCTTCTCCTCCTTTCTTCTTCTTCTTCTCTCCCTCCGATCCTCCTCCCCCTCTTCCTCCTCGTCTATGTCCTCCCTCATCCTGTCTTCCCTTGTTCGTCTTTCCACCTAGAACGTGCCTGACCACTGGACATCGGTGAGTGACCACGAGCTTGTCATAAAACGGGACCGCGAGATTGTCTACAAGGTGCCGGTGAGTAGACGATAAAATAAGATAAGATAAGATGAGATGAGATGAGATGAGATGAGATGAGATGAGAAGAGATGAGATGAGGTGAGATGAGATAAGATAAGATGAGATGAGATGAGATGAGATGAGATGAGATGAGATGAGATGAGATGAGGTGAGGTGAGGTGAGGTGAGATAAGATAAGATGAGATAAGGTGAGGTGAGGTGAAGTGTTAAGATACGATAAGGTAGGAGAGGAGAGGAGAGTTGAGATGAGATAAATTAAGATAAGATAGATATGATCAGAGCAGATAAAAGAGGAGAGGAAAAGAGAGGAGAGGAGATTAGAGATAAGATAAGATAAGGTAAGATAAGATAGTTGGTGTTAAAACGGTGAAATGGTATATGTTTAACACCCCTATCAACACTATTTGAAAGAGCTGGCGGAGTTGGCCTACCATAGAAAATTGTATCAACCCCAGATGCTTAACTGTAACAGAGGATGAAAAAGTAAAAGTAAAGTATCATTGCTATTGGGCATAATTAAGAGGTGGGACCTCCTCGTTTAACGTCCATCTCCAAAGGGACCGAGCTAAATGGGAAATTCCTGTAAAGAGACTTTCTCAAGGACACAACATCGGACCAAGCTGAGGCTCGAACCCCGAACCCACAATCTCATGATTACGGGTCCGTTAGCCTAACCGTTAGGCTACCGACACCTAAATGGGGTTAAGATAGAATAAGATATTATACTAAAATAAGATACGGTGAAGTGAACTATGCGTGGTATATATATATATATATATATATATATATATATATATATATATATATATATATATATATTATATATATATTATATATGAGGCAGCGTGGTGGAATTAGGCTTTTGTCAAAATAATCAAAGTGAAGAAACTTGCATATTTCCGTAGGTTTGTGAATTTTTATCAAATCTGTGATTTTTGGCTCAACACCTTTCATGGCCATTAAAGAATTCATTTCTTTGTGGATTTTTCTGAAAAACTTTGATTTAAGGCACAAAAAATGTAAATTATTTTCAGTTACCACGGACTCTTAAGCTAAGGAAATAACTAATCTTTTGCGCTATTTTCGCACTAATTTTACCTCTGAAAACAGGTGACCCCCACCTCGTTTTTTCGTCAATATCTCGACTTGTATTCAAGATAATTGGATATTTTTTTCATCCAAATAAAGGCAAGTGAACAAGGTTTAAGGGGGGGGGGGCACAAGCGAGCTAACTCCTTTATTTCTGGACCTAGAAACCTTAAATTTGGTATACACCTTCGTCATGATACAGGTATTACGATGAAAAAAAAATTTCCCGGATCCAAGATGGCCGCCATTTTTATGGCGGCCATATTGGATTTTTACATCATGATTTCAAATCAATACTCCTTTGAAATTTACCGATGGATTTTATTGTCCTTTGGCACACATGTACCCAAGAGGCATACAAATTAAACATAGTCAGTATCTTTCGATATCTTATTTCGTTTCGGAGTTACAGGAAGAAGCGTGCAAATCTTGTCAAAAATGCAGAAAACGGTCAATTTTCCAAATTTTTTAAATCATAAAATGAAAACCAAGATAGATATAAAAAAACGCTGACTAAGTAATGTAACCACCCCTAAGGGCAACAAGTATGCTAAGTGCCATCAAGATACACCTGTAATCTTCAGAGGAGTTTCGAAAAATGTGTCAAAAATTAAAAAATCGAATATTTTTCTCAAAAAATGAGATACCTCTCTAATTAGTGAAGATAGAATAACAAATTAAGAACAAAAAATGTTGGGCATCCAACTAGCTACGATTGTGCCAAAGGACAATCAAATCAACAGAGAAATGACTGAAAACAGGCAAAAAATATTGTAATACCCAATTTGACCCAGATTGACCAAAAATAGGTGGGTCCCCCCCCCCCCTAAGGTGATACCAATAACTCTACATGCCCAAAAATTGACGACAGCCTGATTCCACCACGCTGCCTCATATATATATATATATATATATATATATATATATATATATATATATATATATATATATATATATATATATATATATATATATATAAAACCTTAAAAGTATATTAACTCATTTACTATTCAACATAGCCATGAGAAATTTGGTACTCATTGTATTCATTCATTTTCTGCCAACTTGGCTTGAAAAGAATTGATCAATGGCGTTCCTTATTCAAGGGTGATAATTTTATACATATTGATCCTTGCAAAATGCAAACCAAAGTTTGCTCAGTATTGAGTGTGGCCTCTTCCAGCTTGATTTACTGATATAAAAAGTCTGTTCATTGACTGATTTGATGTCCTTATGTTGTCTGAGGAATCCCCTGCCATTTTTTGTGAACTATACCCTTCAGTTCCAGACAAGATTGCACGGAGTGCAGCCTGTTTTTAATCCTCCGGTCAAGGTCATCTTACAGATGTTCTGTTGGGTTAAGGCTTTTTGATCTTGCACGCCAGTCCAGAACAATGACTTGACGAGTTTAGAAGTTTTGTCTGACGACGTCATTCGCAAGGTTTTGATATTTTGTCAAATTCTGTGAAAACGCGTGGGTAGCTTTGAAAACAAAAACTGTACACGCCAAGTTGGACTCCTTCCAGACTTTTTTACCACTTAAAAAGTGACTTTTCTTTATCGATTCACATTGCTTTGACTGCTGAATAAATCGGATAGAAATTACACCATTTCTATGCTTCTGCTTGGGCACTTCGCTTTCGTTAGTCGCGAGACGGTTCAACGTGAACAGACACACTGTGTGTGCCACCCGAGATCACCAGGCAACAATAGACTCCCAAAAAGACAGACCCACGCGAGTAGGACGCAGAAAGTCAAAACGAAGGGTGGGTGGACGCATCCATCCTAACGCAAAGCTTGAAAAATCAACAAATCAATTTCAATTGGCAAACAAAGACCCAGAATGAGTCGAAAAGACTTAGAAATGACAGTCAGATCTTTGTCATGACTGTTCTTCTTCGTCTGAAAGAGGGGAACCTTCGTGCTTGGGGCTTAGTTTGTCGCATAAAACTGTAGCCCCATTACACCCAGCACAGATTTCACCGGGTACAGCGAATTTGTAATTGGAATTCGTACACTTTTTCAGATGAGTCCCAATTTCAACTGGAACGGCATGATGTTCCAAAGTTTACATCCCAGCTTGCTTCAGTTAACAAATAATTTCTATGGAGGTTGTGCCATGGTGTGGGCTGGAATAAGCGATGCTGTTAAGACTATACTCGGGTCTATTCATGGGAGCATAACAGCTCAAGGCTAAATCAAACAAGTTCTCGAGCCCAAAGTACTTTTTCTTTCAAAACCAAGCTGAAGGAAAAGTATTCATGCATGAAAATGCACTTGCCCATAAGGCTGCTGTGACAAATCAACTATTCAAGGTTAACAACATTCCTCTCCTGCGCCCTTAACCAGTGCATACGCTAAATCTCAATCGAATTAAGCGCTTGTGGGACATTTTGGTTCGCACCATTTGTGCCAGACAACGCCTGCCCTGGTCCCTTCTTCAGTTAGAACAAACCTTAATTCAAGAGTGGAAAATTATCCCGTAGTAGATAATACATCGATTCATCCCGTACATGCGTCGACGATGTGAAGATGTGACAACCATTAGTTCAAAACTGAATTTTAAAAACATTCTTAATTTTGCCTTCCACGCGTTTCCCTTCCCGTAAAATGAATGCACTGTCTCATCTGAAATTTTTAGACAGATTTGACAAGTATTCATCAAAAAATTGCCTTAAATATGAGGTGTGGAGTTAAAAATGTTAAAGAGTAGTATATATATATATATATATATGTGTGTGCGTGTGTGTGTGTGTGTGTGTGTGTGTGTGTGTGTGTGTGTGTGTGTGTGTGTGTGTGTGTGTGTGTGTGTGTGTATTCAGTATTCCTTTTTTCAAATACAGTCCGCCGACTGCGACGATCAAGGAATCTATGAGTGCGTGTTTAAGTTTGACAGCGATGTGAAAGAAAAGAAAAAGCAAGCGGTTCTGACTCTGACGGCGGACACTGAACCAACGTGTGACGTGGAGATGGACGGAAAACCTGTGGGTGGACCCGACCCGAGCATTGACGTTCGAGAAGGACAAACTGTTCGGTTAGCCTGCAAGAAGCAAGTATGTCATAAAATGCGTGCCATCGTCATGAAATCAGGCTCTCGTCAAAGTCATAAATTCCAAGAAGTCAAAATTTTCGGGACCGATAGACAATGTTTATTGATGTTCTAATTCTTTTAGTTGTTTGTTGTTGTGGGTTGTTATTATTGTTGTTTATTGTTTGTTTGTTTGTTTGTTGTTGTTGGGGGGTTTGGGGGGGGGTAAGAGAGTGCTAGGAGGTTTTTTTTGTCTTTTGGGGGTTGCCGTAGTTGTTTTTGTTTAGGTTTGGTGGGGGGGGGGGGTTGGTGGGTTTATTTTATTTTTTTATTTAATTGTTTTTGTTGGGGAGGGGGGGGGGGGGTGTTTGTTAGGTTTTTTGTTGGGTTTTTTTATATGGGGGGGGGGGTGGTTGGCTGCATCTTTTTTATTTAAAAACATGTGAAGTGTGTAAATCGCGGATTTCACTTTTTAAAAATGTTTATCAAAGGCACGCTGCCTGAAAGGATGCCGTTTCCAATTGCACTCAAATGGAATTCACCAAAAGTTTGTCCGCTGTTTTCTCGCATATTTTACCTCTGACACCCGACAACCCCTGTCTTCTTCGATAGCAAATATCTCTACTTCTGTTCCAGATAGATGTGTACATTTTAAAATCAAAAGCAACTCAAATGAACAAGCTGGAAGTTTAGACCAATAACTCCTCCTGCCCGGAAACTGACGAGAGCCTGAAACACAGTGGTGCGACTCAAGCACTTTACTTCCTTCTTTCTCTCTCTCTCTCTCTCTCTCTTTCTCTCTCTCTCTCTCTCTCTCTCTCTCTCTTTAATTTTGATTAATTTTCTTGTTTTGTGTAAAAAAAATATTCAATTGAATTTATCTATCAATTTATTAATTTATTGTTCTGATTGTGTGTGTGTGTGTGTGTGTGTGTGTGTGCTGTTCGGTTCCTCCTGTCAAAAGAGTCGATAAAATCAAGTTCAGGGGAAATGTAAAGCATGGCCAAGCAAAGAGTATAACCTTCTGTATCTCTTGTCAGCTCGGATTTGCCCTGGCAGACAGGGTTGAAGTACTTGACCTTGACCATCAACGATGTATAGAGGCACCAGCCATCCATGTCCAGGTGCTGTTTTAGCCTCGCGGTTGAAGTACTCTGCCTCCTAAGAGTGCGCCTGCTTATGCGCGACGCTCAAAAATCAATCAATTATAAAGAACCCGTGTCCTTACGCACGGCTAAAAGTCACATCATGCAGACGGAGACGCACTCTTTAGGAATGATCTACAACGTATCGATTAAGTCGCTAAATGTGTCATCATCATTGCATTTCTCACCGGGGATCAGGGTATAGGCAACGAACAAACACTTTCCACCTTTCCCTATCCAGGGCATATCGCTTGATGTCACTCCATGTCTTCTCACTTTTATATACGTCCATTTCCTTGACTCTTCTACTGGTTCCCCGTGGTCTTCCCCTTGATCTTTTACCCTGTGGGTTCCAATCTAACACTTTCCTTGTTATGCAGCTGCTTGACTTCCTGAAAGAGTGTCCAATCCATCACCAACGCCTTCTTCCCACCTCATCTTTGACTGGGCTCTGTCTTCATAATACTTCCTAGTTGGTGATCCTGTTTGTCTATATGATCCTCAGTAACTCCCTCATATACTTGTTCAAGAAAACCTGGATCTTCTTTATGCAAGTCTGAGATGCGTTCTATATCTCACAACCATACAACAAGACAGACTTCATATTTGAGTTGAAAATCCTCAGCTTTGTCCGTAGTGAGTTGTCCCTGGTTCTCCAAATCCTGTTCAAAGAAATAAATGCAGTCTATGACTTTCCAATGCACGACTTTATTTCAGTGCCTGTTCCTCCTTCTCTGTAAATTATATTCCCAAGGTAGCAGAAGGATTCGACGTCTTCTAGTGCATTTCCCTCAATTGTGACCTGCTGCTTTCGTAGTGCATCTATCCTTAGGACTTTTGACTTTCCGGGGTGGATCGTCAATCCAACAGACTCTGATAGGCTGTTTAAAATTGTTGTCTTTGCTTGCATCTGGTCCAGAGTTTGTGACAGAAGTGCCAAATCACCTGCAAAATCCAGATCGTCCGACTGTGTCCATGGGGTCCACTGTACACCGTTTCTGTGTCCTCTGGTGATTTCCTTCTTTAGCCAGTCGATTGCCAAGATAAAGAGGAAAGGTGATAGTAAACATCTCTGTCTCACACCGGTCTTGATGTCAAAGCTGTCAGTGAGCTGGTCATCATGTATAACCCTGCAACTTGTCCCTTCGTAAATGCTATTGATGAGGTTAACCAAATGCTGTGGGGTTCCGTGATGTCTCAGTATCTTCAACAGTGTTGCTCGGTCTATACAGTCAAAGGCATTCTCATAGTCAAGAAAGTTGACGATCAACTGGGAGTTCCACTACAGGGACTGTTCCACTAAGTTCCTCAGCGTAGCAATCTGGTCCGTGGTTGACCGATTTTTCCGAAAACTAGCCTGTTCATCCCGAAGTCTTGGATCTGTGGTGCCCCCCCCCCCCCCCCCCCAGGACGGTGCCACTGACTGAAGTGTATTTAGGCCATTCCCAAAGGGGGGGGGGGCATGTTTCGTTCTAATGCACAGTAAAAGTGTAAATGGGCTGATCCAACAATGTCATGCTCATACCTGTGCCTGAACTACAACTGGGAACTGCTGCTTTTTTCTTTCCTAATCCTTATTATCGTCATTTACCTCTACTTCTTTTGTATATTTGTCACACTCTTGTGACCCGCTATTTCCGGGGTGCCTTGATAGTCGAAGCAGACTTAAGGCTGTTAAAGCCAGAGAGGTGAGCAGAGTAAGTCTGACTTCTCTGTTGACTTCCACCCCCTGGCGCTCGTATGATCTTATGCAGTTGCGAGCCCTGCAAAACCTCTACTAAAACTAAAACTTGGATCCACTGCAGACTTGATTGTCTCCAGGATGATTCTGTTGACGACCTTGTCTGGTACTGGGAGAAGAGTGATTCCTCGGTAGTTGCAGCAGTTGTTGAGATATCCCTTTATATGAAGTTTCACAGGGTGTCCTTCTTTCCAATCCTTTGGGAAATTGCTTTCATTCTAGATCCTGGTAGGAGGAGGTCTGTCGTGACATTGGCATCTGCTTTTATGGCCTCAGGTGGAATCTGATCAGGAACGGTCGCTTTACCATTGTTCCGCTTTTTAATGGCATCCATAATCTCTTGTTTTGATGGAACATCAAGGTAGACTGGTAACTCATTTCTTGCTGGCAGTATGTTTGGCGGGTTACTTGGTGGTGGTCTGTTCAGGAGACTGTTGAAATGCTCTACCCTCGTTTTGGCTGAGCTTCCTTTTTAAAATTGATTTTTCCCTCTTGTTCTTTTATTGCTATATTCTGGTCTCCCATATTTTCCAGAAACATTCTTTGTAATCTGGTAAAGGATTCGAATGTTCTTCCGTGCTGCTGCTTCCTCTACCCTTTCTGCCAGCCTGTTCATGAATTCCTCTTTGTCTTTTCTTAGTGAACTCTTTACATCTTTAGCTGTTGACCTGTACTGTTTCAATGCGTGCGCTTTTGATCCCCTTGTTCTTCTTGCATTTGTTTCTGCTTTCAATAATTGTCTTCTAATGATAATCAAATCCAGTGACCCTTCGCTAATCCATACCTTATGCTCCAATTTCTTCTCACCGAGTATTTCTTGGGATGTTGAAGTAAAGACTTCTTTGACCTTGGTCCAGTGCATCTTCACCTTCATGTCCTCCTTACCAAGATCCGCTAAGCGTTGAAACTTGCTCCTCAACTGCAGCTGAAACTCCTCTTTCTTGTGACCATCTAAGAGACTCACTAGGAACTTCGTTCTTTTTGGTTCTTGTTGTGGTTCAGTGCTTTTTGAGACGACGCTTGAGTTTGGCTAACAGCAGATGATCCGATCCAACATTTGTCCCCCTCCGTACTGTGACATCTTCCAGTGAACGCCTGAACCAACCAAAATGATAGATCTGGTTCTCTGTCACTCCATCCGTGCTACCCATATAGCCTTGTGGGTCCTCTTGTGGGAAAAAACTGAGCATCCAGTGACAAAACTGTTGAAAGCAGAGAAATTTGCAAATCGCTCACAGTTTTCATTCATTTGTCCCAAGCCATGGTGTCCCATAATTCTTTCATACCCCACGTTGTCCTGGCCAATCGTGGCATTGGCATCTCCCATTATGATGTTGACATCCTTCCTTGGTAGTTTGTCGATGACCCCCTAAAACCGGCTGTAAAAAAGGATTCTTGTCTTCATCCGAAGCATCATTTGTTGAGGCGTAGATCTGAACTATGTTCATGTTGATGCTTGTATTCCTTGTAGTGAATGAAGCCATGACTATCTTCTCCCCCCCCCCCCCTGGTACCCATCCTCTAGGTCACTTCTGTGTATACTTACTCAAAATAATTCCAACTCCTTGTCCAAGGTGCTTGTCTTCCCTCTCAGAATACAATATTTGTTCCCCCGAGCTGAGCTGCTTCTGTCCAGACTGTATCCAGTGGGTTTCGCTGACTCCTAGTATGTGCTGCCTGTATCTCTTCATCTTTTGTGCCATTTGAGAACTTTTTCATGCTTTATTCATGATGCAAACAGTCCACGACGTAATCCAGAGAGACTTGTTCGACAGAGAAGGTTTTTGGGTCAGAAGAAACCTTTTGGTTTTGTCCTTCATTGTTCCTGCTGATACAGAAGCTCCTCCGTCTCCCAAGATGGAAAAATAATAAAGCGTGTTTCTGTAACGTTCCGTTTTAACTGGGTCTGGTAGTTGACCCTCTGTAAACTGACACTTTTCGGGCTACCAGACCTGCACCTTTAGTCGCCTCTTACGACACGCAGTTTCACAGCAGGTATATTCTTTGCTCGCCCACAGTAAAACTACAGGGGCGATAAACGTGCACTTTTTAAATTGATAATCAAAATTAGTATTCAATAATTTTTATTTTATTTTATTCTATTTTTGTTTTAGAGGGGGTGGGGTGAGAGAGGGGGGATG